CGTCCCGTCCATGTAAACACGGCTCTGACAACAACACAGCCAGCAGGATTCGAGCTTCTCCCTCTTTGTAGACAGTCATGACTCAGAGAGACATTTATCTCAGAATATCTCAGAATATTCTTGATTTCTGCCTCATTCATGTGTATCATGTTGCTCAATCTTCCTGTAACACAAGAATAACCTCTGAGCTCATGTGAGTAAATATGTCTTCTTTCACATCTTCACTCTCCAAGGTAATATTAGTCAAGTTCAGCTGATCAGACGGATGCTCAAGTATTTTTTAAGCTCTCTCCTTTTTAAAAAAAAAAATATTTCAGAGACATCACTCTGAGCTGTTCCTGCATCTCAAGTTTGTGCCGATATAAATCAACAAGAGTCCACAGCATCATTAGACGCTCTCTGAGGCTGAACTCTGGCGCTCTGAGCTAAATACTAACACCGGTGTGCCCACATGTTCAGACTGACAATCTGAAGGTTTTAGTAGATGGTTTCTCTTTTTTTAAAGAAGGTATGATGTTTGCTTTTTTAGTTGACTACTCGTGCACATCCCTACAATCAACAGTCATTGTAATTTGTTGATAAAAATCAAAGTCTCAATACAGACTTTTTTCCCGCTGTAGATATCATTTTAAAGTGTATTTGTAGTTCTGCTTGTCTGTGTAGTTTCTCAGTCATCCAGGTCATGGTAAATTTGTAGCTTGACCCAAAGGCAACTGGACTGGTTGAAGATCTTGAAGACGTTTCCCCTCTCCTCCGAAAGGCTTCTTCAGTTCTAAACTATCAACATTCAGTCAACCTAAGAACAGGCAAGAGCTGGAGCTGAGGCGGTCTTAAGCCTCCTGACAAACAGCTACACCAGTCCCACTCGTCAGTCAGGTCAGCCTTGGGCCTTAGTATAACACGTATCCTTCATAAAATCAGCGAGGATGAGTTCTTTGTACAGTTGTTGCTGCTTAGACATGAGCTAATGGGACCAATATAGTTTTTTTGTACCAGTCTGTACACATGTTTATTTTGCTGTAAAACCTGGCTTTTTTGAAAGTGTAGTGTATGTGACTTCCGGCGCTTCTCCAGCAAGCCTTTAGTGGACACTTGATGAGCTGCAGGTTTTTACACTTCTGCTTAATTTTTCAACAACGGAGGTTGCCGCTTTGTTACAACCAGTGTTAGGGGTAACGTGTTGTTGCAAGCTGAAGCTAACTTCAGTAGTTACATAGCCGCTACGAATCAAACAATTACCTCTTCACTTGCATTGCTTTAATTTCTTCAACTACCAACAACCTTCTCGTTTCAAAACAACTTTGAAAACTAAGTCGCCAAACTGGTTTTCAACCACACTCCTTGGTTGATCTTCTTGCAACAGTTATAATTTCAGCTGGAAAATCAAATGGTCGTCATCTATAATTGGGAAAACCTTTTTCATTCCCTCTCTTATTAAACCACTTTCTACAAACATACCAGATTAAATCCACCATTGTTAGCATTTGAAGCAGTATAAGTAGCTAAAGCATCGGTAACTAAAGGAGGTGTCATTTCATCGTACATTTACACTCCGCATGGCGGTACTTTATTTGTAACGAGACACTGAACAGTAGCAGCGTCTGAGATGTCTGGCAGTGATAGCGTTTGTTATCAATGACCAAATTAAAAACCATCACTGAGCTCCGAGTGGTAATTCTCCTCTAAAACTAATTCTCCCCGGGCTGTTTATTCCTGGAGATTAGGTTCTCCTTTAAATGAGTGACAGTAACACACCTCAGACCCCGAGTGTGTGTGTGTGTGTTTCTGTTTCTATTATTGGATATGGGGTTAGCGATCTTCATCCTTCACTACAATTTACCCTCACTGTCACACTGTGAAGTTCATTTCTGTTATTGATTCCAGGAGCCCGTTACAATCGTGCACAAACACACCTCAAAACAGACTCACTCGCAGTTCATTTTAACCCATAGATGATGTCTAAAGCCGGTAAACTGAGCTTATCTGTCTCTTTAAGAAACTGCTGTGGTTTATTTATCCCAAAAAATGAAGAAGATGATTGATGATGGAGGCAGCAGAAAAGCTGCTTGGATGTATTGCTTGACATTTTGAAAATCTGCTCACTAAGCGTTAGATGAGAAAACTGATACCACTGTCATGTCTGAAATAGAAATATACTCTAAAGACAGATCCAGAGAAGTGTCAGCTTAACCTACTGACCAGCATGCTTACTGTGGCTGACTCCTTAATTCACAAACCATCTCATAAGTCTCTGTATTTAATGTCCTGGACTTGACCTCAAAGTACAAAGTTTTATGTTTCAAGAGATTTGTACATCTAGAGTTTTTCTTTTTCTTTTGTATGGACTCTGAAATTCTTAAAAAGGTAAACAAAGATGTCTGATGATGTCACAGTGAGTGACTTGAAATTAAATTTTCCTGGGGCACCGGTAGCCTTGTATATAAATACTGGGGCTATACTGTAGTCCTTCAAGCGGGCAGCCCAGGTTGTATAACAAAACCTCTCTCTCTCTCTCTCTCTCTCTCTCTCACCCACAAAATACATCATCACTTCTGTACCAACACCAAAATGGTCTTTATGCTAAGCTAAGCTAACTGGCTGCTTGAGATGTACTTTGGCAGACATGAAAGTGGTGTCAATCTTCTCTTCTAAATCTCTGCTGGAGAGATAATACGCCTCCACATTGTTGAATTATTGACTACAAACCCCTTTAGGGCGACGGTATGTTTATGTATGCGTTTGCAGACGGTATGTCAGCTCCTTCGTTACACTCGCTGTGAAGCAGAGACAGGTGGTGGCACATTAATTATCAGGAGCTGTCTCTACATAAATCCTATAGGTGCCTATAAACCCTGTCAGCTGTCATGTAACTGTGGTGATTTTCTCCTTCACCTTCTGTCCTTGTTGTCCTTTACATTAACATGTTTGCATGTGATCATCAGATATCATGTAATCAGCGATTTTTAAATGTTTGAAGTTGAAGATGGAAGATGCCACATGTGTCTCATTAGAGTGTGCATGAAGCCTACAGCAGACAAACTTCCCGTTGTGACACCTGTTTTATACTTTATTGATTTGGCTTTCCTCTCTGCAGGTGCACCTTCACAATCTTTCTGCGGATATCTCTAACTTTCTCTCTGCAGGATTCCGGGTGTTAGAGCAGCTCTCTTGTCTTTGTTTATGGAGGGTAAATGATCCTGAAGGCTTTACTGTGAGACTTAAGAGTCCCCCCCCTGCCCTCTCAACTTCCCTGATCCCACAATAATATCACCCTCAGCTCCGATTTCAAACCAAACCCTCTGCTGCTGCTGCCTCTACCGCCCTGTGCAGCGATGCAGAGAGGTGTTGGGTTCGACCACTCTGCGAACACGTCCGTCTCTTTTTCTTGTGTTGTGTTTTGTATATCTCTGCGATGTGACCTTGGTCTGCATTGATTAAAGTAACTATTTGAAGTTGCAAAAAGTACAGCTCAAAAGTGCATTTATTTGATCTGCATGAACCAATTAGTGTTGGCAAACAAAGCTTTATTTAGAAAAGGTCAGAGTTCCGCCTTCATTTTTTTTTCTGTGGTTGTTTTGTGGTTTCATGATCTTGACTGTCTTTCAGCAGGGATTTATGCTAAGACGTGATTTATTTATTATTTATCTTCCCTTGTTTTCAAGTAAATAATAAGAAAAAAGCATAAAAGAGGAAAACAAGAAGCACAGAGATGCACCTGAAGTTCTCAAAAATACTCTGTCGTCATGGTTTTCCTTTTCAGACTGATATGATACTTTTATTTCAAAGTTATTGATGTGTTTTCATCACTTTAAAGAAGTAACGGGTAAATGTGCAGCCTGATTTTTGATCTACTTTATATAGCCTAAATAGAAGTTAAAGCTCCTGTGAGAAACTTTCAGTTTGTGTAAATTTTGGCGCCCCCCTGTGGACAAAGTAGTACTTCTTCTCTCTTAGCTGATTTTGCCCTGTACAAGTTTCAGCACTCTCTGGTAAAAATCTCCTCCTTGTGCCTTTAAACAGTCAAAATCATCACTCTTTGTAAAACCTTTGCAGGGAAAAAGTAAATACAAAAAACAGCTGTTTTCTGCAGGGTAGGGTACAATGCATCTGACATCCACCCTGCAGTATTGAAACTAACTGTATGGAGATATTAAATATCACAGCTAATGGTCTTGTTGGCTTTTGTATGTCACAAAGAGGCATCAATACAACTTAAATGAGTTTCAAAAGTAGCTAAAAACTCCTCAAGGAACTTTAACTTTAAGCTTGTGTCCATTTTGGCGCCCCCCTGTGGACAACGCCTTGTGTCTTTTCTCTTTGCTGACTTGTCCTGTACATTTGTGATTCTTCTTTCTTTGTTTGGAACATTTTACAAAAGGGATGTTTTTGCAGTGTGCAGGTATTCACTTTATCTGACACCTACCCCACAAGAGCAGTTTTAGGCTTTAAATTGAACCATGTAGAAATGGTCAATCCTTGTGCTGATTGTCTTATTTGCTTTTGTAGGTCCTAAGGAGGTATCAGTATTAATTTTAGTCTGTTTCAAAACCAGCTAAAAAATCCTTATAGGAGCTTTAAATGGGGTACAGCATTGTACTTATTTAGATGCTTTAATGATAAAGCCAATTCAGAGTATTTTTGTGTGAGAATACGTACATGGATGCTTGCTGTTGAACTTGGATAATTCTAAAAATGAAGTGGGGAAAATGGAAGTGAGTGGGTTAGAGGAAGAGAGAGAGAGAGAGAGAGAGAGAGAGAGAGAGAGAGAGAGAGAGAGCAGTATGCCTCTCTCGGCTCAGTCGGAGTCCTCGCAGCCGCTGTAGCTGCACGCTGAGCGGTCAGATGATGCTCTGCTCACACCGGAGTCTGGATGTGACAACAGGAACACTCTACTCGGACACTTTCTTTGTCTTTTTAACTGGATTATAACTCAAAAAACTCCTGCAGCGGGGCGCGTTTTCCTCTTTCTCTTCCTCCGGTGCGTCTGTTGTGTTCTGCAGCCGGGCGGAGGCAGCTCTTCCCCCCCTCCGGGTCTGAGATGCGTCTGCCTCCGCCGCGTCCCCTCGTCTCCACACCGGCTGCTGTGACACTTTGACGGTGCACACATCTGGTTCTTTAAATATGATGAAATGGCAGCCCCGGAAGAAGGTGAGTGGAGCTGTAAAGTTGTGCAGGAATGTGCCGGATGTCTGACCGGCACCGTTTGGGATCAACAGGGCTATTTAAGCCGTCTCCGAGCGCGCCGGTCACGGACACTTTATTAAAGATAATCCGTTAATAGCTCCGCGTTTCACAAAGACACTGCAGCAGCATGTCCGTGCAGGATTACAGGAGGATTATTCAGGAGATGAAACATTCCATAAAGGCTGCATAAAGTGGCTTTAAGCTCACCAGTCACCGTCAGGAACTCCTTTAAACCAACTGTAGCTGCTTATAGTGATGCAAGGGAGAATTCAAGTGGGCCACAAAGGTCACTGTGAGAGTTACTAATACACTTTATTAACCATAAAAATATCAAGAATCCTGTAGTAGAGTAAATGATTCAGAAAATCTACAATACACCAGTGACAGAAAGTAAATATATAAATAAAAAAAAAAGGTTTTTGTGTCATTTAAATGCTCTACACCTGAGTTTAATGAACAAGATTCGACTTTATTTCCAATGCACAAATGGTCTACTCATAATATGAAAAGCCTAATGGGTAGTACCAGAATTTCAAACATAGGTACAGAAAATCAAAGGATACCGATACCTACAGTATTTCGATACCATGGTAACAATCAAAGAAGTAGGGCACTCAAAACTTCAACGTTTCCAATGAATTTTATTTTATTGTGGTGTTTTGTCCACCTTTTTTGTATTTATATTGTGCACTGTTTACATGAGGGGTTTGGTATCACAGGTTAACTAACGATCAGGAGAATACAATAACATAAGCGGCGACACAAACCCTACAGTATATGTTACATTACGTTATGTTATGTAACACTACGCTAGGATACGATATGTTACATTACGATCGTACTGCATACCTGATACTTGGCACACATTAATGATAATATCACATCACAGCGACTCTGCAGTAACTGTTATAATGTAAGACGATCATCATCAGGGTATTTGATCCAGGAAGGGGCACAACATTTTATGAATCTCGTTCATAAGTTGCACATTTGCTCCTCTTCAATACAAGAGGTAGGCGCTTCTCAGAGTGCTAAGAAATTTCACCTCAGTTGCTTTAGACACCACCTCCAAAAAAAGTGCAGGCTGTAGAGGGATGAACTGAGACATGAGGAGCGAGGCATGCAGTGTCACTGGATCAGATCATTGACTGAGTGTTACGATAGATCAGAGCAGCAGACCGGACTAGCATGACAAGTCACCTGGTTTTAAGGAAATGTATGCCTGCAAGTATGAGTTTGCTGTTGTTTGTTAAGTGTGGTAGGTAGAGTGGGATTTTCTGACACAACTTCACCAACTAACGAGGTGCATGAAGAGTGAAAGGCTTGAAGAGGTCAAAAAGCTCCAGCAACACTTTATAGTATGAAGATGAACATTAGTAACGAATTAGACCGACACGTTTGGGCTTGTGGCCTTCATTGCAATGCTAAATTTGTTAGCCAGTTAGCACCAGCTGCCATTGTTAGCGCCACCACCTGGGAGTCATGAAGTATTGATACGTCTAGTCATGGATATTTTGACCCACCCCTATATAGAAAACAACTTTGTAACTCTGTGTCTCAAATGCTCTTTAAAGGCTTTATATGTGATTTTTTTTGATCCAGCAGATGTCGCCCTTGAGCACCAGCATGAAACCAAAACAACTCGCGCTGCATTGTTGTGTTAGCATGCTAATGCTAGTGATCTTTATTATGCTGGTATCTTCACACTGCATGTAAATTTACCTGAAATGAGCGTGATCTAGAAACACAGTTAAGCAGTGAGTACAGTATGTTATTCTTCTTTTCTCTAGTCCCTCAATTAAACAACTTTTATACACGAGGGGAGGAGTCAGCCGGCTGTCCCGACGATGTAAACAAAGTTAAGATAGGACTCTGAAAACTCTGAAAACATCACAGACAGTGGGACTCGGGTGTTACACCCATTGTAGACAGTCATGACTCACAGAGTTATTTTCAGAGGATATACTTGATTTCTATATTTAAGTGTGAAAAATCACATATAAGGCCTTTAAGCACACTAACTGGAGCCAACCGTAGTTTTATCGACAATTCATAAGTCAGCTGATGTTGGGTTTGAGCTTAAAGCACCTTTTCTGCCGCTCTTAACTGTAGTTTCTTGTATTTAGCAGGCATCGCTCTCCTCTCTGTGGAGGAGAATGTGTCTGACTTTGTCTGTTGTTGGTATTTTAAAACCTCCTCCTCTCATCGAGTGGGCTGTGTGAGTTCGTTTGGGATTTTTGTCGCTTCACTATATTTGTTTCTGGCGCAGAGATCACAGAGAGCGACACTTCCTCTGAAGGAGTGTGAGCCCCTGATCCTGAAGAGATGAAGCTGTTATAACAGAGCAGCTCCCAGCGGGGGGAGCGTGTTAACGGATCGGGCCAGACTGTCAGCTGTTATAGCGCGCTGACGGTGGCGATGAGAGGCGGAGAGGAAGAGCACATTTAAACGGCAAATTCGGAGGGGTGTTTATCTCTTTCTTCCAAGTTTTCTGCAAGTAATAAAAAGGAAGAGAAGAGTGTAGAAATGATTAAGTGGATTTTCATCCACCAGGGAAATACTTAATATTCAATAAAGAAGGTGGAAATATATCAGTCAGAGCTAAATATTGGTGTGTGCCCTGGTTCAAATGTTAATAAAGTTGCATGGTTAGTGAATGCTGACAGAATAAAGTGGGTCAGTTAAGTATTTAATTACTTGGCCATTACTTTTTTATTTATATTCAGCGCCAAATCACAACTGAACTCATATCACACAGCACTCAAAGGACAGATCTGTGCCGTATTCTTGTAATATTATAATAATAATTAGTTTTATATAGTGCTTTTCTGAAAACTCAAAGACGCTTTGACAAAAACACAAAACGATAAAACAAAAAAACGACGAGTTAGTTCGAGTTATTTTTCACAGAGATCTCAAGATTAATTCACGATGAGCAAAAACTTTACAACAGAGGCAAGAAAAACGTCCTTTAAACCGGCAGAAACCTCGAGCAGGACCGGACTCATTGGTGTACAGCCATCTCCATGGCAACATATTACAGCTGCTGCTTCTTCATCTTCTACTTTTATTAACTGAACTGGGAGTATCGTGATTGCCATTGTTGTTTTTCATATGCAGATATATTTTTGGTGATTTTTGCCTTCAATAGATAGGATAGCTGAAGAGAGAGGAAAAGGGCCGAGGTCGGATTTGAACCCATGGTCCATGCGATTAAGGCCTATAGCCTCCGCACATGAAGAGTGCATCACAACCGCTAGTCCCTCAACTTTAAGCAGTACCAGACTTCCAGACAGCCATCTGTCATAACTGGATGGCAACATTATGGCATATTCAGTGCTTCTTCATCTTAGCATTACTAACATTTACTAACTTTTTTGTTGCACCGCCAACATTTCTGTTGACTTGTTTGCCCACTTGACTTTCAGCCAATCTCAAATACTTTTTGCGGTATGGATATATGAAACATATTTTTTCCCCAATGCATCCATTGTTTGAAATAATTTGGAAATTGTATTTTTAAACGACGGTCTGTGTTTTCCTCGCTGTAGCCAAGATGGTGGCCATTGAAGGTGAAAAGTTAGCGGCTTTTCACTCTAGACTTGTTGTTAGTAAAGTTGCTGGTTCTTAGTGACTGCATGATGCCTCAAGTGTCATCACAGCTTCATGCACACAAATGAATGAATCAATCATCAATCAATTTTTGTTTGTATAGCGTCAACTCATAATAAGTGTTATCTCGAGACACTTTACACAAAGCAGGTAAAATACCTTACTCTTTGTCTGTTAACATTACAAAAGAGCAGGTAAAAAGACCTTACTCATTGTTATGTTACAAAAAGCAGGTACAAGACCTTACTTATTGCTATAAGGTCTAGACTGCGCTGGGCTTGGAAAGGGATAGGGGGAGAGATGGGATAAAATGCAGGAAGAGGGATAGGGAGCAAGGGGGTGGGGGGGTGTTGTTCGAAATGGTTTGCCAAAGGGTTTGCTCATGATACTCCTGAATTTGTTGGTCAAGTTCAACAAAGTCAAAGTCTATGTAAACCGTTTATGTGGATCTCTTTGCCCACACGATGAAGCAACAACTGCAGTAATCCACTGATCGTTTTTCTAATATGTGTCATGAAACATCACTGTGTTAAAAAGTGCTGATTCATCTGTCTTTGCACTAAAACCACATGTGGCAACAGGTCATAAAAACGGAGACAAATATCAAAGATCTGACCGTCTTTCAGGTTGTGAAGTGTTAACAGCGTGCAACAAGAACTGTAACTGCTGAGATCATGCACACAGTGTTGACTTTTCAGAAAAGATGCAAGATGTTTTTTTCTCTGTTAAGACTCCTCGCTGAACCGAGATCTAGCTCCGGTTTACATGAACAACAGCCTGAGGATGCTCACAGGGTGACGAAAGCCCCTGAAACACACTCAAGTGGAACACTCGTCTGTGTGTTTGTGTGGCTGCATGTCTACTGTACGGCAGGCGGCTCTGAAGAGCCCCACAATACATCCTGTGAACACTTGTTGCGAGGACGAGTTTATAATAAACTCTCACATGTTAAAGCTTCAGAATGAATGACGCTGATGACTGCATGCTCTCATTCTCCAGCAGTGAACGAGGGCAGTCACTGTGAGACGAGCTGCGATGTATGACTTCAAATCAAACTCTTATTTAATGATGTACGATGTCATAAAATCAATACATACTTTCTGCTCAGCAACACGTGCCACAAATGAGAGAATGGGTGCATGTGTGCACTGACACACAAATGATGATACATATACCTGTGTGGGCTGAAGTTTCTGGGTCTTCTTACCTGATGAATGAAATGAAATGAAATCCAGGAGACAAAGAAAGACTGGCTCATTGACCTGATTGAGAGAGAGAATAAAATAATAAT